TAGCACTTGTGAGGAAGTAATATATGTTATACAACTATTGTGTTAAGTCAATTTAGTACAATATAAACAACAAAAAAGAATAACTTAAAAGACGATCTATAAGAGTTTAAATATAAAGGGAAATAGCTTATGAATAAGAGTGCACCCCTTTTTTCCAATTGGTTAAGGGTTTTGAGATACTTGGGTTTGAGTAATATTGGACTATATGACTTTCCAAAAAGTTTAAATTCAAGAATTTACATGCAAAACTATAAACTAAATATTAGAAGGCAACAAGGCACATTTGTGATATCTCAAAGAGATAATAAATCTTGGATTGTATTACTTGATGAAGGAAGTGCTACACCAATGTGACATGGGTGACAAACCAAGGTTATCAATCCACAAGGGGTTGCCATTTGCAACTATGTGGGGTAGCCATTAATTAAACTAACAAGAAATAAAACATTTTTGCACTAAGGTTGCTTTGATAGCAAATTGCTTAGCTCAAACACTTAATAAAAGATTTTGGACATCTACACATTATATGGTGTGACAATTGAAGTGGTATAGCAAATATAAAATCTAATGTTCCATCAAATCTTTATACAATTTTATTAGAAGGATAAAACAAGTTAATGCAAGGGTGGTGTGCATCAATTACATCCCCATATTGCTCATAGTGCACATTAATTACATCCCAACAAGTTTATTTAGTTCTGGATATATAGGTTTTTCTACCCTAATCGCAATATAATGCTAGACAAAAGGTAATATAAACTCTAAAATATACTTTTACTATAGAATATGGTTGGCATATTCTTCCACTGAAGTGAAAGTTATTGTCGCTAACAACTAAACTTCAACATGTTTGTAATGTAGTAGTATATTTAGATGGATCTGGTCCACAATTAGGATAGTGAAACAAAATGTTAAAGATATTTATATCTATAATGTAATATCATATGCCAGCATAGCTTATAGTATATAAGTGTGCACCAAAACTTTAGCTTATTTATAAGAGTGAATGGTTTAGATTGAATAAAATTTAATAATTATCAAAATTGTAATTATACACTTGAACCTTATATCATCCCTTTATTTCATAAGGATGGAAAGTAATTGGTCAATGGGCCAAGATATCAAGGAATATCAGATGGAGATATTGTAATTTGTAATTACAGTACTTCAAACCTGTAATTTGTTCTTAATTCCTTTTCAGCTATTACACATGCATCATATCTAAAAAATATGTCATAATAAACCTCATAAACCTATAATCCCACTTTTTACAGCCTTGATATAGTTTCTTTAAATAAGCAAAGAACCCTTTATTTGTCAAATATGAATCCCATAACTTAGCATCATCAGTTTATAGCAATTACAAAAATAAACTCAACTCTACCATAGATGAGTTATAGAGTTTTTATAGTGCATCAATGAAACTCTACATCCCTATGACATATGTATACTAGAGAAATGATAAATAACCATCTTAATTTAAATACTAAAAATATATATAATTTGATATTATCTCCTTGAAATGTTCTATTTATCTGTTATCAATATACCCTCACTATTGATTTTAGGGTTCTAGTGATTTTTATTGAAACATTCACACAATACAAATTATAAATGATTTTTTTAAATATATAAGATAATATAGAGGGATAAGTTCAAAGGTATAAATAATAATTTATATTTTTGGTTTGCCTAAGGAAACTAAACTACCTAGAAGATGCTTGGATATTCTAATATAATTGAAAACCCTGTGAGAAGAATTAAATTTTTTTGCTATTATTTATTAATTTAATAGATAAAGTAGAAATTTGTAATTATAAACATGTTTATAATTTATAAACACAAGACGGTGGTAGAATAAACTAGAATATACTATAAAGTGTTTGGGAAAGTTTAAATAACAACCATTGGAAGAATTTTTGCTATGGTTGTCTTAGTTAAAACACCTCACAATCAGTGTGCATCTGTTGAGAGCACGGAATCACACAAGGACCCCTCCATTTTGTGATTGACTTTGTTTTTGTGAATGATTTTCCTTTTAGACCTCTTTTCAAGTGCATTTCTCCTCTCTATTATCTTCAATTAATTTTGGAAGTGGAGGAGAGGGGCATCAATCCCCTGATCTATTGCATGCTCTACCATTTGAGCTACACCCCTGGTACGGACTGTTTTCATATGCTCAAAATTACAAGAAATTCAACGAATTTGTTCAATGGCATCGATCCCACAAGATCTGGCCAGCAAGAGCAAGTTACTTTTGGATTTTAATCAAATCCCAGCTCTCAAGTTTATAATGTTAGAACCAATGATCATATTTCTTGCAGTACGATGGTCCTACAAAATCAAAGATGAGGAATAAGGAATATTTGACCATTAAAAGCTAGGGTTTCGCAAGCGGAGCCCATGGAGGTGGATGATCCGGTTTCTGGCTTGTCAAGGGAAATCCGGGAAGTTGAACGGCAGATTGCTGTGGTTGAGGGCCAAATTAGTGCGGTTGAGGGCCAAATAACTGCGGTTGAGGGGCAACTCGAGCAACTAAATGATCCCAAGATGGTCAAGAAGGAGGAGCAGCTGCGCAACAAGGAGGAGCAGCTGCGCGACAAGGAGGAGCAGCTGCGCAAGGACAAGGAGCAGCTGCGGGATCGCTTACTGAAGTCGAAGGGTAAGCCTATTGTTTGTCTTTCCTTTTTAGATCTCTTGGTCCCTTTTTGGGTCCCCAGGCGCGTTTCTTTTGCAAATTTTTGACTTGTTTCTTGCAGAACCAGTCAGAGCGACTGTGGCAAATATAGAGAGTCTCTTGGATACGTTTTGGCATGAGTTGCGCAAGCCAAATCTTGAACATCCCAAGGCGGATGCGTTTTCCCAACGTGTAAAGTCCCACTGCCAAAAGATCCTACAGACGAATGCCCCCGCCTCTTGTGGCATGCACTAGACCAGCCTTTCGAAGCATCCAAGCGTATCCTAGAGGGAACTTCCAAAGCGCAGCCGATCCTCACCGTTCTCTTCAACGTGTCGGGATCGGGGAAGACCAGGACATTATATGAGATCGCTGTAGCGCAGCGTGGGCTCTTCTTTGTGGGGGTCTCCGACACTGGTATTGGAGCTGAAGGTTCAGGAGATCTCAAGTTAGTGGCATCAAAGTTGCTGGAGCTGTATCCAACCGGAGACATTCCAGACGTTAGTGCTGCAGTCTGTCTCAAAGCTTTGCTCATTAGCAGGTTTTATTTGCTGGGGCAGCTGGAGAAAACGGGCTATTTGACAGGTCAAGCATGGCTCTTCAAGCAGGTTGCATTGCCTTCGCTCGAGTACTTGTACAACTTCAAAGATCCGTTCAAGGCGCTCACTGGTAGACTTTTAGACCTTATACGGACTAAAGAGGATTTGAAACCCATCGAAGGTCAGTTCCAGGACGTACTCGATCGTTTAATAGGGAGCGATCGTGTAACAGCGAAGTGGAATGGTCCAATCATATTTGACGAGTGCCAGGTGATAAACCGCTGGTTGGAAAAGCGATTTTCTTCGTTAACTCTTGGAAGTGGTACGAGATCGTTCCTAGATATTCTCGTGCCGGCGCTGATAAGCAGTGGATTTCGACAATTCTACTATGCAGGCACCGGGGCTAGGATGCTTACTGTGGCACAGGATATCTCTGCCACTCTGAAGAGGAGAGCTTCTGTTATCGTCTTTCATGGATTTGGTGGATTCATCACTGTCGAGGACTTCAAGCTCTATGCTGGGAAACTACTCCGAAGTGTGGATGGTATTGATATGCAGAGGGTCTGTGATTTGTACAAAGGGAGGTAGAGGTTCTTTGTCACAGCACTTGAGCAGTTCATTGTGAGCAAGCGTCCCTTGGAGCAGGCAACAGAATTTCTGATTGACTTTTTTGAGAAGATATGCACCTCGAGTAAGATCAGTCATTCTCAGGAAGGTGTATAGAACAAATCGGAATTGGAAGTCTACATGGATAAGACGGTCCTGAGGGATGTGGAGCTGTTTTTTGAAAGGACTCGGAATGCTGCAGCGCTCAAGGAGCTAGAGGTGATAGTGTATCACCATATGTTTGGGTCCATATCCACTGTACTCAACATCAACAATCCATCTCTGAGCCTTGTGGAGTCCGGGTTAGCCTGGCTAAGCACGGAAAACAGTGTTGCGTTGGAGGACTTGGATAAGTTCTTTGCAAAGCAGGATAGAGACACTTGGATCAAACTTCAGGAACCTGCTGTCTTGCGAGCTCTTTTTCATTACTTTTGTAGTCGGCCAACAGGCTTCGGTGAGTTTTTTCAGCAGCAGTTTAAAGCCAAGGGCCAAGGCAGCGATGCGACAGTGAGTCTTGAGTTTGAAAGGCTAGCTGAGGCATTGGACGGAAAGGCTCCCATAGACTTCGTTTCTCGCTTTCTTCGGAATTGCAGTGTGGAACTGCGCAACAGCACTTTTGAAGTTCCCGCAATATATTTCGAGAAGGCAAAGGTGGTGAAAGCACGGGTTGCAACGGAAGTTGTGACAAAGATGTGCGGTAAAAGTCACACCCATGGCGCCGACTGTTATACACTTGAGAAGTATCTCCACGACGTTGAAAGGCAGGCTGACGCATTTCCAACGGTTCTCTGGACTGGTGATGGTGGTGGCTTTCATCCAGACGCGTTGTTTTTTCTCACCAATGACTATGAGTCCAAGCGGCGGCTCATTCCTTGCTTATTACATATGAAATCCAAGACTGATGCGGCCACTCAAGGTGAAGTTTCAAGTGCTCTCGATTTGATGAAATGCAGGAAGAAAGAAGATGGAGGTTTGAACAGGCTTATAGATCTTGCTTCAGAAAATGGACTCCTGCAACTGGCAGTTTTGCCTCATACGGAGGAGGATCTGGAACAGTCTGGTTTCAACTATTTTACCAGTCGACTCCCTAGTGATGGGTGGTTTCCCCCACAGAAGCGGCAAAAGGTTGAGGGGGCGAAACGGCAAGAAGTTGAGGGGGCGATACAGCCATTATGTGGAGTGATTGGTGGCAACAACGTGTCTTTGTATCTCAAAGAGTGGTTGACTGATTCGGTCTGGGTTCTTAACGCTAATGTATAAAAATCTGAGAACCTGTAAGTTCGCATCGTGTCATGCTTAGCACAAGGAAAACGAGAAAGAAATAGTTTCTCCCAGGATTGTCAAAAATCAATAACTTACATTAGTGAACTCGATCGCTGCTCCTTCGAGAAGGCTTCTCTCTCTCTGATGAAGAACATGAATTGAGCTAGCAAATCCACTTCTCACCCCTGACTTGTTTCAGTGCCGCCACCCTCGAGTTCTCTCTAGCAATGGCTTCTTCCTTTCTAGAAATTCTATCCTTCCATGCTGCCAGAGCCTTCTCTCTCGCCTTCTCCGCCTCTACTCTCACACTCTCAGCATCGATCACTACATTCTCTAACGAGTTCTTGCCACTAGAAAACCACCCCCTTGTACTGTGAATGTAGCGTTTGCCACTAGCCCTGTGCTCTAGAGATCCATCCCTGACTCTCTCTATCATTGTTATCCCAGCCGGAGCTTTCCCAAAGAGATGGAATCCATCGTCTTCTTCCTGGGATGGAGCAGCCACTGGAGCAGGATCTGGCTCCTCCTCCACGCGGATAATCTCCAGTGTCTTGTCCAGGAATTCCTGGAGCTGATCTTGGAGGCGAACATGGTAGAGCTTGAGGTGATGATCGTCGGCGGCGCCTTCTTCTACCTGGCGATCGATTGGCCTAGCAGCGGATGGAGTGAGAGAGCTATAATCCACGACGCAGCTGCGCAGCTCCTCTTCCTCCTCCTCTTTGCTCGATCTCCAGAACCCTAGGAAGAATGACCTCGCGGCCGATCTAGACGAGCTAGCTCCGCTCCTCCAGCGCTGGTAATGGAAATATTTCGAGGGTTTTCTGTGTTTGAAAGAGTCGTGGCTACTGTCGACCCTTCCCAACTGCGCAGCTTCTTCTGCCAGGGCAGGCACTGGATTCGCGACCGCGGCAGCGTCATGGTGCCGGCGACGAGACAATCCCAGGTTTTCTAGCTCCTCGAGTTCCAAGGGAAGCCGCAAGGAAAGAATGGTAGCCTCCAGCTCTAAGGACAGATCGAGAAGTATGCTGGTGAAAGAATTTCGATGAATTGCCTCGTTTTCATGCTTGTTCTTCTTTCTTTCCAGGGTTTTTGTGAACTCTGCGATGAAAGCACAAGGAACTCTTGGACGCTGGCAAGAAATCCAAGTAAGCTCTATCTTTTCTTTTTTTTTTCTTTCGCGGGGAGAGCACTGGTGATTTTGTTTCCCTTCTCCAGGGAGCATGGATTCTAAGACCGAGCAAAGGAGATCCTGTTGGAGTTGTCCATTTTGTGGGTGGTGTTTTCGTTGGAGCTGCTCCACAGATCACGTATCGCTTGTTTCTGGAACGCCTTGCAGAGAGGTGAGAGTTTCGTATTGTATAAAATGATTTTACCTCTCTTCTTATAGCATTGAAAGTTGTTTTAATTTCTGATAAGGTTATAACAAGTTTTCTTAACGGAATAAGATTACGTAGAATTATATTAAATTATGTGAATCATCAACATTTAAATTTGAATTAAAATGATTATTTCAGCAGCATAAACTGGATAAACTCTGGCGCGGAGGAGTGCTGTGCGACAATGAATAGCTCCTCAGTTCATCACACCATAGCTGTTTCTAGTTTTCTTCATCCATTGATAGCTAGTGTATTTTTTTTATCTCGCCATCTTCTTTCTCCTCTCCTGCCGTTTGTAATTTATGTGAGGGTTGTGTGGCACCGACTAGAGAATTTGCGAGCTGACCGGCTGGGACATGATCCTGGCGTCACGTTTGACTTGAACCTTTACAAAACTCAAGGCCCTATGCTTGCATTTCTCCGGCTTGTTGGTACGTTAAATTTGCAAGAAGTGGAATCGCTGGTATCACATCTGCAAGCAGGCTTTGATCAGGAATGCAGGGAGGATTTCCTGAGCTATGATCGATGGCTGTCAGCCCTATTGACGAGGTACACTTTAACTTGTTTGTGGCATTCAGCTGAATCCTGCTACCGTCTTTTCGTGTTTTTTGTTTTGAATAAAGATCGTGCTTCGAGCACTTCGGAAGAAAATCTCCGTGCTTGTAAGACTTGGTGAAATCATGGCTACACGACTTTTGCTGGGTGACAATTGGGTATGATATCCTTGTTTCTTCACAGTTTTGATCCTGGCAGGTTTTCGAAGCGTAAAACAGGGAGTGTGGCCAAGGATGGCAGTTTGGTGGCCAAACGCCATGGCAGAAAACGTCGAAAGGAAAGGGAAAAACTAGTGTGGGCAGCCAAAAGGACAATATAACTGCCACTTGGTGTGCCAACGGCCGAAAAAACACGCAAAGGCTTCGATGCTCTGGTACTGTCCCCGTGAATTCTCTTGCATTTTGGTGGTCGAGCTAGACCATTTGATCCATTTCCTTCGCAGTGCTTCCTTCTAAACTTCTTCGGTGTCAAGAACTATGTCCGCTCCAGGCAGTGCTTTCCAAGGATTCCAGCGCCATCCTCCCGCTGGCCAAGCCGCCGAGAAGGTGAAGTTCACAGTCTCAGTTCATGGGCATCAGTGGAGTTCCGCGCGTCACGTTCACGAGACACTGCAGGAGTTTGCGAGGGTGATCGAGGTATAAGTTTTGTTGTTTCTTTCCGCGTGCTGATGGCGATGATGGTGAAGACTTGCGCAGAGAAACGCGAGGCGGCTGGAGTTCATCGCGCAAGGCGAGAGCATCCAGAGGTTGCAGCTGGTGCGGCCGGATGGCTCCGAACCCGAGGAGCTCGACGTGGACGCAACGCTGGAAGACGTTCTCATATGCATGGAGGAGAAGCAACTGGTAGCGATGATCACCTCCGGCGGCGTCGCAGCGAAAGAGGATGGAGGTGACGAAGGCCTGGCTTCCATCAGCGCTCCACAAGAGGCCCCGAGAACAAAGACGTTCTTTCCAAAGAACGAAACTCCAACGAGTTACAGCATGACTCCCACCTCCGCGGACGAATCCACGCCAGGCTGCTCGAAGGCGTCACCACCGAGCTTCGGCGGACTCCCGCTCAGAGGTTTGAAGATATCGATTCCATGCTGCGACTACAGTCCCGACGATGCAGACTGCAGGCAAGCGAAACCAAATGGCAACTATGCTCCGGGTGGTGGTGGATTTTCTGGGATGATGAACAGCAATCCGATAACGCCATCACCTGCCGAGCTCGCTCAGTTTCTCGTGAGAAGTTCCTCGGCGAGCAGGCCCAGCTCAAACGCACCGCTGATTCCAAACGCTCCAGCAGCAGCATTTAGGCCGTTTCCAGCGAACGCTCCCGCACCAAATATCGCGTTGCTGGCTCAGTTTCTCGCAGCTCAGCTCCGGGCTTTCACGCCAGCGCAAAACTCTCAGCAGCAGCAGCAGCAACAGCCTTTCGACGCTTTTCCACCGCTCGGCAAGGCAGCCGCGGACGAACTCGCTGGGAGTTCCTTGCAGCGTGCGGGACCGGGTCCAAAGCCCGGGCTTGCCAACGCGAAAGCCTCCAACAAGCAGCCCAAGACCGACGAGAAGGACGCGTCTTCGTCGTCGGCGAATGCGAGCAATCCTTCGCCTCAGTGCGCGGACACCAACGACGCGTCCAAGGGACGCTCGGAGCTCGTCTTCCTCGTCAACCGGCGGAGCAAAGTGGTAAGTAAAAGCACTCGCGACTGTTTTCTTCTTGCTTGCAACAGCCGAGTAACTAACAGCCAGCAACGGTCGTTGTTTTCCAGGGTGTTGGAACTCACCATCTCATACTCTCCGACTTGTCCGCGTACTTCCACCTTAGCATCGTCGACGCTGCGAAGAAACTGGGCGTGTCACAGACAACTCTGAAGAAAGCTTGCCGGAAGTTTGGGTTGAAGCGATGGCCTGGTCGAAAGGTAGATCAACTTGAGCTTATCAGCTTGACTTGAGAGCTTGTTTTTCTATCAGGTAAGGAGCCTGGAGAGCACCATTCACGGTTTAGAGCACACCATCGCCGTGGGACAAGGTGCCGGCATGGAGGAACTCACAGAGGCTTACATGAGATCGGAAGTTCTCAAGCTCCAGCAGGAGATGGAGCAGCTTGTACACGGGATTCCGGCCGCTCAGGTTAATAGTTCTCCCCGGCCTTTTGATTTCGAGCTTCTGCTCGCGCGCTAGCTAAACAGGTTGATTGTGTTAGCATGCAGCAGCATCTTCCAATGGTAAAGACGGCAGACCTGTACAAGAGACTCTACTCTCGAGGATGGCGATCGAAGCTCCACGGCCCCTGCGCGGGTCAGTGTGATCTCGACTTGAACGCGAGCTGCAAGGGAGGAGACACTGGCAAGAACAATGAGCAGCAGCCTAAATCTAACCAGGAGAGAATCAGCCCGAGAAACCATGCCGAAGACCACCGGAAAATGGAAGATCGTCTCCCAACACCGGTCGGACGAGAAGATCTCGAAGATCAACCTCGGGAGCCAACGCCCAAGAGGCCGAAAGTGGAGGAAGTGAAAGTCGATACAAAGCTTCGTCACTAAGTCATGCTTGGACGCGCCTCCAGCCGTTCTCAGCAAAGTGTGAGGAAGCTCACTTTTGTCGCTGCTTCTTCCACTGCCGGTAATCTTCGCTTAGCTCTTCCATGTCTCTCAAGCTTCTTTTCTTGCCGGGGATCCTCTTCACAGCAGCGATCTTCTTGTCTTGTTTGGAACTTTTCTCAGGCTTGCTTCGTCTGGAAGGAGCAGCTTTTAGCTCCCTCTGCCTCTGCTTCTCCCGCGATTTGTCACTGAACGGATGAAAGATCGATCAGTAGGCGAATAAAAAGTCGATGAACACGTACCGGTACTTGATAGCACTGAAATCTATACCCTCGACGGGGACAAAATGCTGCGACGTGAAAATGCCTCGTTTTAACTCGGGCATCGAAGGTAGCTGCAAGAGACCAAAGCCCATGGCAATCTTGCCAAGCTGCAGTTTCTTCCACCTAAACATCGAATGATCAAAACACGACGAAACGTAACGACCGCTACGTACTGGAAAATGTAGTTACAGTGGTGCTCCTTGTACGCTCGAAAATATGATACGAATGCTTTCAGTCCCTTTTCCATTACATCTCGATCGCTTTCAGCGGCTGCACGCAACTGCGATGAACACCATAAAGTCAGGCAATGGCATTTTTAAACAGCACGCAAACCATTGGAATGATATCCATCGCCTCCGGCTTGTTTCTCTCTTCGACGGGAACGTTCCTTATGCGCAGAAACCCCACATACGTATCCTCCTGCAAGGACACTCAAAGCAGCCCTTCGACGCTTCACACGGTTTCAAGTACCTTTGGAAGAAGGAACACAACAGAATGGCCAACGCGTCCAATTCTTGCAGTACGCCCGACTCTATGAACAAACGTGTTTGGATCTTGAGGAGGATCATACTGGACAAGATGACTCAAATTACTGTGTTACGAAGCGAGCCTCAAAACTTTTATCACAAAGCATTTACCTGCACAATCCAGTCGACACCAGGTATATCGAGTCCGCGAGCAGCGACATCAGTGCAGAAGAGCACACCCGATGGCATGTCGGTGAATCTTTGCAAGGCATTTTCACGGGATTTCTGCAATAGTTCATAGTAAAAACGAAAATCAAACGCAAATAAATATCACCTGTTTCATTTTACCATGTAGCACCACGATCGACACATTCTTCATGATATCAACCTTCTGAAGGACGGTTCCCCAGTAATCCACGGAGGCGCAGGTCATAAAGTATCTGTCATATTGTCAATATTCGAAGCAACGTAAGCTTAGCAGATAAAACCATGAGAAACCTACACAATAGTTTTCTTGGACTTGTGTTCAAGAAGGAATTGTGCTAACTGTGAGGACTTTTCATCAGCATCGCTGATGAGATACTGCGAGAAGTCAGAGTTAGTGCTCTCCTCATCGATAAAATAGACGCTTACCTGTACACTGAGTGTCGAAGGAGTCTGTTTTTTCGTTTGAAAGCTGTATTCCTGCCGGACACCAGCTTTCACCGCAAGTTCCTTTGTTTCCGTCGCAGAGAAAAGCCCGGTTATCCGTTGTCCAGGAAGCAGACTGATGATTTCCGAGACGCGGTGATCGTGTCCCATCTCGAGCAGCCGGTCCGCTTCATCCAGAATCAAAACCTGCGTAGCTCAAACACCTTGGCACCAAGGGTCATCTCAGTTTTGAGTACCTTCAAGGAAGAAAAATCCAAGTGAGAAGAACACCGCTGCATGATGTCCAGCAGGCGGCCAGGAGTGCCAACCAAAAATTTAGCTCGGGGGCACTTCTCGATGCTGGAAACATCCAAAGAGACGTCGGCACCACCAACAAGCAGCACAGGATCAAACTCGTTTAGGCCTGCAAAGAAGGGCCGCGACACATCAAAGATCTGAGACGCCAATTCTCTGGTCGGTGCCACAACAATCGCTCCAACCTTCACACAAGTTACAAACCATGAGGAAGAAAAGCAAAGAGTTCTAACGCAAGGAAAAGAGAACAAGATGGAATGAATAGATAAACACGAGAAAAATGAGAAAAAGAAGAAGAGGTACATAGAACACACACAAAAGTATACTAACCTGTCCTGGATGGAAGGAAGCCGAGTGCTTGCGAAGGATCTCAACGATGGGGACGACAAACGCAAGCGTCTTACCGGAGCCCGTGACGGCGCAAACGAGCGCGTCTTGGCCGCGGCAGAGCTGCGGGATAATGCGCTCCTGAACTGGCGTGAGATCGTAGAAGCCATTGCCGCGCAGCACAGCCAGCGTCTCGGCGCTGAGCGCCAGATCCTCGAACCTCATAGCTAGGGTTTATCCTGCCCTAAATTGCCGATTTGGCGCCATTTTCAAATTTAAAAACAGTGACCTAAAATATGCTAGCATATTTTAGAATATTCGAAAATACAGAATTTTATTTGAGTATCACGAATCTGTGCCTGTAGCCACTGGGCTATCATCGTCAAGACGAGACGCTGCGTGATCGTCAATGTATTCCTTGGTTTGCATCTCGATCAACCTTGACACGAAAAGTTCCAACTGGTTGAGCACAGGAAAACAAGCCGCTAGAGCGAAGATTTACCTGCTGATAGTTCGCTCCTTCGCGAATCCCAGCTCGTTATCCACAAGTAAATCCGCATCGTCGTTCCGAGCGGACCTTGACGACGTACGCTTCGGAGCGTCTGCGATTGTGACAATCCGCTCGAGCAGTTCTTTTGGAGGAGCCTCGGCGGAACAGACGAAACGAGCCTTGTTCTCGTACAAAACCTGGAGAGATATACTGAGTTTATCCGCAAAGGACGAACATCACGAACTTACGTCTATCAAGGTAACGAATCTATAAGCCGCGACCCGATTATGAGATCCAAATACTGGGACGCCCTCCAGAAAGAGAGTATGAAAATGGTCTGCAGTCACAGGTGATCGGATCTACAGAATCGACATGCTTAGTTCGGAAACACGTACTGAATAGACCGAAATAATCCGCTGCACCCAACGGCATCTCACAAAGTTCGTAGAATTGAAAATATGCGCATCCATTAGCGGAGATAGGAACCTGAGAAACAACCAAGTATATATCACGAAATGTAAGACGAAGAAGTCGTATCAAACCTTGAGCCTGCGTCCCATGACAACTTCAACAGTTGCTGGTGCAGTAAATTCGCCATTTGTTACAACGCGGAACTTTTCCTTGAGCATCTCAGACGCTCCTTCTCCAACAAAATAAAGCCCCTTCTCAACCTTGTCACAATGATACACAAATTCCCTTTCAGATAACTACTACTTAATAACACAAGAAAAAATACTCACTGCATTGAGTTTTCTGTAGTCTGTAGGGGATCCAACTTTATGGACCACGCAGCGCTCCTGAACAGGGAGTTTCACTCACTCACGCACTCAGAGAAAGTTGACTTACTTTTAGTGATGCAATGAACGGTAAAAACAAGTCCCTTTGCAAGCCCCGTTCATACAATTGGTCAGGAGCTCGATTAGAAGTGGATACCAGAACCTGAATAAAGTTTTTCATGATTAACCTTGCCGACAAAGAAACAAAAGAAAGACTTACAATCCCTTTGCTCCAGAGATGTCCAAACAGCCTGTTGAGAATTAATGCGTCCGCAACGTCAGTGACCTGCGTGGCGAAAGCTTGATAAAGGCTGCCAGCAACAAATAAAAAGCAAAAAGCTTGTGATATTGACTTACCATGAACTCGTCCACGCAAAGAATGACAGCCTCTTTCGAAAGCTCCTCAGCGAGCATCTCTAGTGGATCAGTCACACCTTTGAGTTTCTAGAAAATCATTTACTTCGACAGAAAATAAGGAGAAGGAAGCACTGAAAAATAGAAAACGTTGACTTACTTGCAAGCGACTGTGAACATTCAGCATGAAATCGTGGAAATGTAACCTCCTCTTTCTCCACGTCGAAGGCCTACACTTGTTGACCCATCAAGTTAAACAAAACAAGAGACCAAGAGAAAACTCACAATTGCTCGTAGAACATATCCATCAGCATCGTCTTGCCGGTGCCAACGCCGCCATACAAATACAGGCCTCTTACTGATGGCACGGATGGTGTTGGAGACAGCAACTCAGACCACCAGCTCTTGCTTCTGAGAGAAGACTGATTAGCTTGCTGGAAAATCAAGTGGTCTCTCTACCAAAAGTATTAAAACCTTCCGTGAGATTGTTCGGCACTCGTTCTATCAAGCCTACTCTCCGCAGCAGTGCTTTTGAGCAAGTCAAACAGAGCTTGCAGAGCTCGCAAGGCATCCTCCTACATGAATAAAATCAAACAGGCAAATGAATGAAAGGAAGAAAAAAAAAGCTTCCAAAGCGTACCTGATATTTATCTCCGGGGAGAAGGTGCCCAGCAGAAATTCTTCTCTCATACTCGACCAAAGGTCCCGCTCTCTCTAGCTCCAAACTTCTCGAATTTCCACTCTTTAGAGTTGGAGGCCTGGAAGCTGGATAGAATGTTTGAGCTTTAAAAGTTAAAAAGGAAAAACGAGAAATAGAGTTAATTACCAGGATTATTGTTCTTTGTGTCGATAGTAGAACTCGCCAATCTCCTTTGGAGGGTGAAAATCCTTTCACTGCCTTGACAATAAACCGGAGCGCTGGTCTCGAGAACTTCCCTAGAGAAAAAATCCCTTCTGGTGGCTGCCTGCGCAAGAGCTTTACACAATCTGCGCGATCCAGCCCTCATCGGAGTAAAAAATCTCTTCCCCTACGCCAGAATCACTCCCAAATCAATTAGCAGCGACAGGATCGGTCCAAAACACCCTGCCACCACGACTAAACTAGTGCCCGCTCGACAATCCGGGCAAGATTATCCAAGAAATTCTTCCAGACGCGCGGAGAATGGAGATCGCTCCAAAGAACCCTGGCTTTTGCTATCATTGGCGCCTGCTGGAGACCTGTGACGCGATCTAGAATCTCGCCAGCTCCCATCCACGCCCAGTCTGACGAATCATGGAGCGCTCCGCCCTTCTTTCTCCAACACAAGGGGAAGAAAATAAAAATAAAGGAAGCCCCACTAGGCTTACCACCGTTCGATTATAAGACCCCGATCGGACGGTCATCGTTTGAAGTTTTCTCCTCCAGATAAAAAACTCTAGTGAGGGATCTTCCAGCTTAGATTTGCTCGAGAAAGCAAAGAAAAATGGAACTTTTTCCTCTTCAGTGGTGGTAATGTTCGCCTCTCAGGATCGTCCAGGATCTAAAAAGCTGGGAGGCTTAGATCGTGAAACGAAGAATCGAATGGATTCGCACCTATAAATTTGCTCGACGAGGACGATAAGAGCGACTTGGTGATTGAGGACCAGCGAGGATAGCCGGAGTGTCACATTTGCGCGAGTTTTGACGCGAGAGCCGTGTCCGTATGGTCCACCAATACAGAAAAGTAGCGATGAGCTGCACTGCTTTGACATTGATCCCAAGAACAAAGAATGGAAAACTCGAAGACCAACAAAAAAAGAAGTTGGAGAAAAACAAAGCTTACGTTGTTTGCTGCATCAGCGATTAAGTCTGCGAGCTCGAGCGAAGTTACGTCTCGACCATTTTCATCCAGCACTGCAACCTGGGGATTTTTCTCGCGCAAAACTTCAAATGGAAAAAACCAAAACTTTTCTCGCGTACCCACCCAGTCGCTGGTTGAGATGTTTCGCATGGCATTCTCGCTCTCGGCCTCGATCTGGACCTTTGGATCGCTGCAAGGGAATGAAAAAGATCTGGAAAACTTGGAGAGAATGTTAAGACTTGCCTGGAGTTTTTTGGATTTGGTCGGACTTGCACTACTTGGAAGCCACAGTATCGTTGAATCTTCCGACTATATCCATCCAGAAGCATTTGGACGCCAGGGTCTGGGGATTTCCCCACGGTCAGGACCTTAATCTTGGCAGGCCTCTAGAGAAAAATTCGAGTAAGCAAAAGAACGTCCAAGCAAAGAGAAATGGAAGTACCACTGAGCGAGCACTAGCACAAGAGACGCTCCACCATGACGAAGCTCTCAAACTCGACATGAGCCCTAAGCCGTAATGCAACAACTTGTAGAAATGATTATCCTTAACCAATTTGTCTAAGATATTTCAGGAACTTACAAAACACTTGCATTTTGACTATATATATTGAACTCGATCATGGACATGGATCTTGAAGTTTTATCCAAGAAACATTTCCATTTAGATCTAAAGTGTCCTGAAAGATGGGCGATAAATCACTGCCTTGGTTGTGCCAACTCCGCCCCATCGCCCTGTGCTCAAGTTGTAAACACAGACAAGCCCTGTCTGTGAAAAGGTGACGAGATTGCCCTCTGCGTGGGTAGAACAACAGTAAGTGCTGTTATGGTCCTGCCCAGCTTGATCACAAATGGCTTTATAGTGCACTGCTGAGACTGTAACCAAGCCACCCTTGTCATCAACCTTCCACACGCCATAGCCATCAATTCCACCCCAAAACTCGCGGAAGCCTCCCGCATTCACCCGGCCGCTTGCAAAGTATCGCTGCCCATTGTGCTCCCACAGCCTCGCCGCGCACCAACCGGGACGTGGCAAAACACAACGCAGGATCTCTTCATCTTGTTCAACCGTGCCTTCCAGGCCTGTTGTAATCCTCAAGCTGCGCACAACTTCTCCCGTTATCCATGTGGTGCGGCCAAAATCGTACAATCCCAGGATACTAAGGTCATAGAAGAAGTCGTCCATGTCTGGAAACCTACAATCTATATTCCACTGCTCCCTCATCTTAATGTAAGTTGGCGAGAACGGGAGCTTGGGGAGAGAAGACCACGCACGTTTTGCTGAGTCGTAGATGTAGCACCAGTGGCCTGAACTGTCGGGGCCGGTAAAGTGCAGGCCGACTTTGAAGCCAACTTTGTCAACAAACATGGAGGCACTGATCACTCCCACAGGAGGCCTTGTTTCTACGTCCCCTGAATGGAGCTCTGGTAGTGCGCTCCACTCTTGGGTTACTGGATTGGCCACCAACAGGTGAAGCACATCTTTAGAGAGATCGTGGCTCGTGGCGATGCATACCAAGCCACCTGCAGAAGCAATGACATAAACGCCCTGTGGAGGCATTGCAAACTTCTCAATATGGTTCGCCTGTAATGGATCCCAGGCGTAGTGGTTGCCATCCAAGGAGGTAGTCATAACACGCAAGGATTCCTTTTCTCCACTATTTTGACACCACCGACGGCGAAAGGATGGATTGCTGATGATGGATTTCCATGACTTGCAGACCACAGAGGACCGACACAGTGTGGCCAAGTCCAGAAAGGTAAGAACCGCCTCCAAAATGTCATCTTGACCGAGTAGCTCCGACAGCGTTTTTCTTCTCTTCATGCTTTTAGGTCTTTCCCTTTTGTTACCAGGACCAAAAAGGATCACAAACGCGGATTTTTACAAAATTATGTCCGACAAATTCCAGTCACAACGCACGAACGCACTTTCTGAACCAGACCCACGTGCTTTAGCGAAACAGTTTTATCTTCGTGGATCCTTAAGCTTTTATAGGGCAAATGAAAACTATCTTCTTTTCTTCGTCTGATTCTTTGTCTGAAAATCAGACGAATCCAATAATGAAGACGAAGAAAATTGATCTTTCTCTGCTTCCTTGAATTTTTTGAGCTCTTACAAACACGCAGTAAGCAATAATTTGATCGCCATGGATTCCTGTCACTAGCGAAATTTTGCCGCGCTTGAATCAGGAATGGCTGATGCTTCTACACATTGGCTACAAGAAGAGGTGACTGAACCATTCGATAGAAAGATTGCCACTCACAACTCCAGATAAATTATACTGATATGAAACTTTTAAATCTAACGGGCACTCCGTCCCAACGCTTAGTCGTCCTAGCATGAACGGGGACGAGAAGCTGAACAATGCCCAGGATGACTACGCATGACGAGACTGTAACCAAGCCACCCTTGTCATCAACTTTCCACACGCCATAGCCATCAACTACGCGGAGCTCGTTGTAGCCTGGCATACACCCAGCCTCGACTTCAACAGCATGTCAAAATCGATCACATACTCGACCTTCTTCCAGATGGAGCGGTGGTAGTTGGCTCCACTCTTGGATTGCCCACCATCAGGTGAATCACAGAGGAGTTGAGGCCCCTATGGATGCATACGAGGCCACTTGCAAAAGCAACTACTACAGCTTTCGAAGGTAATGCAAACTTCCCAGTGTACTTCGCCCGTAATAGATCCCAGGCATGGCAGCGCTGGCCATGGAAGGAGGCAGTAATGACACGCAAAGATCGATCGCCACTGTTTTGGCAAAGCTCCAATGATCGTGAGCATTTATTTCTAAACCAAGACAAAAACAATTAAATTCTACCGCTAATCTGTCCATTCAACATGCTTCGTGTCGTAAAAAGCACCAACCTTGTTGATGATGGAGTTCCATGATTTGCAAAGAGCACCTACACAGAGTGGCCAAGTTCACTAAGCTAAGAACCACCTCCAAAATGTCATCTTGACCAGGCTCTTTTCTGCTCAGCTGGGAAATTTGAAGAGGTTCCCCTCAACTTAGTCCATTTTCAAATATGTGGATGGATGGCCGCGATGGATTCCTCCTCGCCTTGCAAGGGTTGAGAAGTACGAACCCATCTCAATCGGCAGGCGCGAGAGATTGATGCGATCCCATGATCAGCTGAAGTCATCGCTCGATGATTCGAACGCCGCAAAAGTAAAGATCACCGCAACGTGGCAGGCCTGGAACTCGGCCACAAAAGCTCCGCGCCATGGATGTTGCTAAGTGATTGTAAAACTGAATGATAGTGTGCTACCATTTTTCATGCTTCGGTTTCATCAACCATGCAATTGTGCCTCGCACTTTGTTACCATCCAAAACACAATCCCCATTAGAGCCTTTCTTCACTTTCAAGTTGACTTTAAACGATTTGGTCTCTGATTCAAGACACCGTCTGGATGTTCCACGCTCGCCATGTAGGTTGTGGCATTGTCTTCCACGTTATTGTGACGCGCCTGTGGATAGTTCTCGTTTTCCTTAGCGAGGAGATTGCAATGGAGGGATAAATGAGATCGCTGGACGCTATATTCTCCTCTATTGCACAACCAGTTTCTTCCGTGGATTGCGCCAGGAAGCCCGTGAATCCGGTTTCGATGGCATCGTAAACACGGCCAGGGTGAGTTGCGTTCATTTGCATTGATATGTGCCCGCCACCAAAGTTGAAGGGGGGGAACCATCCTTTACAGGCACCCCCAGGTTATCAACGTTGGAATCTAGAAGATAAAATTTTAATAAGGAAAATCTTATGGTTGTACGTGTGGTTACTATCTGTGGACTCCATTATCCTTTCAGCAACGTAATTATTCCTGAGACATGGGGGCAAGACATGGATGTTCCAGATACAATTGCATGGTTGTCTTGGAATGGGCTGTATGACAATGTAAACGAAGAAATTCTCTATGTAAAGGTTGTTAAATGTAATATCCGGAGTGATGGGATGAAGAAAATACCCCCATCACAGCTAATAAAATCTTCTTATGACGTTTCACAAGCATTGAAAAAGTTGGGCAATTAAATTCGTTTTTTTTTTACCAGGAAGAAAGCCTTCATGTTGTCCGAAACATCTCGAAAACTCCCATGTTTATTTCTCGCTGCTGTCCACGGCCACGGTACCTTTGAAACTTTTGGACTGGATGCCAGGGACTACGAATTTCACATACTGTCTCTTTTTCCTAAAAACAAAGAAAAAATTCGTCAGTAAAAGCAAGCAGAAATGAATCAGAAAGCTTACAGAAGAGATGCTCCACCATGACGAAGCTTCTCAACTCAACATGAGCTATTTACAAACCTCAATCCATTATACAAGAGATACAATACCAACAAGAACTTCACGCTCCAGAAGCTCTGTGTTGAGAGTAACAAACAAAATGTGCAAAAGCACCGCCAGGATACACTGCAAAAACGCTGGGTCCAATCTTTTTGCGACAAATCGAGCACAATGTCTCGTTCGTGAGTCTGAATCGCCGTGCTCTACATTGAAGCAGCTCATGACGGACCTGGAAGCACGCGAATTAGAAAGAATACAAAGATAGCTTGGCTCTACAAAGACGTACTTCTATGTGATCGCTATACTCCACTCGCCCGATGACCGCTGCATTCCGGCTTCTTTCAGTGGACCTCCGCAACAGTGGTTCCAAAAACGAAAGAAGATCCTTTCAACAGCAATGAAATCAGAATAAGAGTTTTTAAAAAAGGTGTAAACAAACATCACGGACCTTTAGCTTGGCATCGGACGGTAGCATCGACAGGACTTCGGTGCCGTGAAAGCGATCCCATCTGCTGCTCAGTAGATGAATGGCTTCTTCCAGCATAATTCCATCCTCCGTCCTCACGTCGACACTTTCTTCAGTGTCGCTCTTATTGCTTTCGGTAGCACTTTCGTTGCCATTCGTAAAACTCAGTGCGTCTTCAATCTGAGTGACTTTGTGTCGAACGTGTCCCTTGTGTTTGTGCCTGTGTACTAGGCCAGCTCCATCAGCTCCATCAGCTCTTGATATATCGTATTTGAGACCACCAAAACTAGCAAGGGCTAGCTTAAGTTCTTTGAGGGACTTTTTGGGCCGAAGGTACATCTCCAGCAGCTTTGAGTACAATTCCGCTGCCTTGTGATCGACGGGTGCATTCAATATTGGCTGTGATGCTGTTTCAACAACACGATCAAAGACACGATCACAATACGCTAGCGCCTTTTCTTGATTATGAAGCTGCAAAAGATAATATTATGATCGAGAGATCAAAGCATAAAAAACGAATAGCTTACCTTGTGCACATATATAGAAAGCGTAAGTTTGTGGTACTCCATTCGTCCCAGAAGTACTGCCTTTTCTTCGTAAAAACCCTCCCCCGGAAAACGGGGAAATATGTCTCGAGCATTATAAGCGGTGAAAGTTTCTAGAGCGGTCAATAATTTAGATTTTGAGTCGTCTGGCTTTCCTTCGAGGACATTGGACAAATACAGTAGTATCTGTGTAAAACATTAGAGTTTAGCAAAGATCTACAAGGAAACCAAAAACCAAACTTACAAGCTCGTTCTGAAACTCTGCTGATAAAGAATCTGGATTGTGCTTCACCATTTCCTCAAGGTAAACAATCTGCAGATCAGGAGCGTGTGCCTTCAGCTTCAACAGCACATACTTTGGAGGTAGGGGAGGATTTGTAGACGTAAACAGCTTCATGGCCTGGTCCGGACTCAGCTTTAAAATTAGTGTCGACAATTCCATGATAAGTGTCTGATCCTGTCCCCCGAGAGGCTGCGAAACAAGATAACCATACTTGATAAGACATAGAGAAATAGGATATAAGCTTACCTGCAAGTAATCCACAAGAGCCTCTGGGCCGTACGCATCCTTTGGAGGTGGAACTGGAAATGACTCGGGGTTCTCGACCAAACGAGCCAGTAGTTGTAGAGCCTCTTTATGCATTTTCTTGAACTGATACAGTTCTAGCAGCTCTTTGTAAAAGCCTCCAGCAAGCATCATTTCTCGGCACGCATCTACGTCGCAGTAGTTTGAGCCTCGAAGAAGTTGAATTGCAACTGGAGACTGGTTTGTAAGCAACAACGCTTGGATAAGTGCTGTATCCAAGACGGCAGCACTCTTCCGTGGATCGTCTGGCTCCAGTCTCGTGGAAACATTATGCTGTGTAAGAAGCTGCAGCTTAGAAATAGCGCGTCAGAAATAATCGGATTGAGTACCTTGTGACCCGTTTCAGACAAAGCTGCCAGTGCCTCGTCCGTATCTTTCGCCTCGGCCTTAGCAATGACATCCCCTCGTTTATTCATCAAGAAGGTCGCCAAAGCCGCCAGAGAGATAGATGTTGAGACGGAGTTGCTATTATTTTCATCCACCTCTAGCTCCCCCGAGTTCTCCATGTCTTTGAACTCATCAAATACGCAAAACTCCGGCAGCTTCACTGAAGGGAACAACGCAATGATTGACGGCAGACTCATGGATGATAGTGCGAAGTGCTGCAACGCTTCAACATATTGTCCGCGACTGAAAAGAAACTGGCCATATCTGCCCATAAACACTCGTCAGGCTGGAGAAAGCTTTTTCAACACCTACCTTTTGTGTATGGCATCTTCTTTCGAAGCTCGCAGAGATGCATCCTCGGGAGGCATTAGCTTGCAAAGCGCCAATGCATCTTCAAAGTTGCCTGATGCCGCTAATTGCACTACCTAGTCCAGAGTGTAACGTAAGCAGAACGAACGTAAAAGAAAGTAAGAAACAAACCTGGACGCCAATGGCGACAGGGACAAGCTTGTAGACAGAGTTCTCAGACGCGGCCAGCAAACCGAAACTACTCGACTGTAGCAGCTGCTTGTCTTTGTGCGCTATCATTTGCACGACACTGTAAGGCTCCCTCAGCGTTCTTACCTGGGTCAATTCTGACGTCAGGACTTGAAGCTCTTAAACCATAGAGACATACCTCTATAAATCTTGAAAGCCGAGCAAGGATATATGGTGGATGAACCATCACAGCTGAGGGCGATTCCGACCAGCTTAAAGCAGTTTGCGGGGTTACTTTCCCCGATTGATCTACGAATACTCCAATATTGTCCTGATCAAGTTGACATGAATGTGGATCAGTGGAGCTGATAGTAAACAAATGCAAAAAAACCAGTACCTTGCCAAGTAGAAGCTCGCCACGAGGCAAGGAAACGACGAGCGGTGGGGCACTTCGACCGCAAGGAAAGATATCCGTGGACGCTCCAGTTGCCGCATTTACAAAAACATACTCGCGCTTCACACCAAGACAAACACAATCGCCACACCAGACCATGGACTTCACGACATCTGGAATGGAGATCTCTTTAACTTCCGTGAAATCCCTGCTTCCTGCAAAGGCAGAGAAGAAGAACAAGATCAAAAAGTTATCTAGGAACTCCAAAGCAAAGATTTTGAGAGAGAGCTTTACCATCGTGCCTGTAAATGAGAAGCTTCTTGTGCCTGGCAACGCACAGCAATCCTCTTCGCTCGTCCCAGCAGAAGAGATTGGCCCCTTTCGTCTTTGCAAGAAACGCTACAGGCTCGAAACCTGGTAGCGAATGGACGGCCACTGCCTCGGCGAGAGTGATGAGCATCCCGCCCCGCGATTTCACCAGATCCATCTGCGACACCGCCTTCTTGGCGAACCCCACGATCGTCCGCCGCAGCACATAGCTCCTGCTGCGCTCCGCGCCGAGATCCTCCTCGTCTTGTGACGAGTCCGGGAGCGAATAGATGCGCAGGCTCCCGTCGATGCAGCCGACATGGAGGAATTCACCTCTGGTGCCAGATTCCGTGACAATGGCGCTCTCGATCCTCGAGGGGCAATCCCTCACCACGCACACGTCGTCAAACGCATTGTGCACCATAAAGCCCTAGCCACTGAAGAACCCTAAAAACAGAGGACGATTAGGGTTGGTTTATAAACTAAGAAAAAGGCCATATCATAAAAGGTTACCCTAACACTAAGGGACATTAGGACTGAAAATATTTTCCTAAAAACAGAGGACGATTAGGGTTGGTTTATAAACTAAGAAAAAGGCCATATCATAAAAGGTTACCCTAACACTAAGGGACATTAGGACTGAAAATATTTTTCTAATAGAACTCCATTTCTTGGGTTTAAGATACATTTAACAAGATCTTTTTTTCAGGCATTCACTTGCCAGTGAGAGATCCAAACACACAGTCTCCATTGGAACCTTTCTTCACTTCAAAGTTGACTTTAAACGATTTGGTCTCTCCTTCGTGCTTGAATTCCAAGACCGGGGGATCCACAGACACCAAGAGACCATTTGGATGATCCACGCTTGCTGTATAGATTGTCGCATCAACATTTGTGATGTGTCTGTGAATAGTTTTCGTTTTGCTCAGCGAGGAGATTGCAATTGAGGGATACTTTAAAGAAGGGTCTCTAGCCTCGATCCACACCGAAATCCTGTGAAATCAGTCTCGTTAACATCATAAACAAGCCTTGGGTGAGCTGCAGCATTTGGATTGATGTGCCCGCCACCGGTGTTGCAGGAACCATGAGCATGTTCTTTATAGGCTCTCCCAGGCTATCAGATTGGAACCCTGGAATCTTACTAGATCAAAACAATGGAAATCCCCCAAATTGGTGGTACCAACCTGTGGTTACTATTGCTGGCTTGATAGCCACAGGACTTCACTCTGGCTGATAGGCCTTCAACAATGCAACGATTCCTGAAACATGGGGGCAAGACATGGACGTTCCAGAGTCAAATGCATAGTTTGAATTGTTGTCTCAGAAAGGGCTATATGGTTAATATAATGATTTTATGAGATGATATCATGATATATCACAAGGTTGATCAACTTATGGTGTGGAGTTTATGTACGAAAGTATAGCCTTTCCAACACTTTTCCAACGCTTATATATTGTACAATGCTTGTGTTGTAAAAGCAATGCAAATCCAATAAGCAAATGGGGCCCACCCTAAATAAAGAAGGGTTTGTGCTCAGGGTGTGTGTCCTTCTAAAATCTTTCGAAGGAGACAATATCTTATCAAGTTCAAAACTAAAAGTGTTTCTAGGTAGTTTGATTTTACTATGCAATATAATACTTATTGCAACTCTTAGCCCTTAAATTATTACCTTAAGAATAAAACTTAAATGAAATTTTTAAAATTTTAAATATTATGATATGCGAATCCTTTTAAAACTGTATTCTAGAGAAGAACCATATCTCTCTCTTATATGCAATATTTTTACAGTAACAATTACTTTTTCCCTTTAAACAACTTTATAAAACTTTTCTATTTTAAATTTAATAGCTTTTAAATTTTGACAGATTTATTATTTAAAAGCCAAAAAACACATAGTGCAGATTTAGATTACTTTCTACAAACCAAAATTATTTTATTTAAAGTTCTAACAAATTTACCTAATGTAGTATATAATAAATATTTAAATCTTTAAACCATATATCTCCTTTAAAACATTTTTATTTATATAAAGTGTAGAGAGAGATATTAGATTTATAGTGAATAGTGATAGTTTTTAATATAAGTTGGTTTTATCACAATGGTTATTATTATTATTTCCATACTAATAACATTTTATTAAAGTTTTATAAAGACTGAATTGTAGTAGAAAATTATTGAAAAACTTTATTTTTTAACCTTGTCATTAAAGTTGAATTCTTTTACTTTTATTTATTAAGTGTATATTACAAACAGATTTGCAAAATGGCAGCCACTTTTTATATTTTATAAAAGAATTTTTAAAGTTTTATTTATATTCAAGGTGTGAAGTCCAAGTGTACAGTTATAATGCCATATACTAATATTAGTATAGTGGGATTTTAGTAGCCGTTGGAAGGTATGTAATGAAGTTAGTCACACTTATTGGCATTATCGATGTGTTTCGGATTGGTGGCCTTTATTTCCTGGGTGGAGACTTTGGTGTCAACAATGTCTTATTGGTGCTGCTATAGTGGAAGGTCTAGACACCAAGATGTATCTGGGAAACGAAAAATCACACGAGTAACGGAGGAACCTTATGTGAATAAGTCAGTGACTCCTTTATCTTTCTTTCGGGAGTATCAACAAAGGGTTCATTCAACATTAGTTCATTCAGTATTTACTTTCGAAACTTGTTTTTATAATAAGTCTTTTATTATTCTCTCTATATTGGTTGATATAGGTTTAAGTTTATTTTTTATTGATCAACCTGTTACCACATATTGTTGTCTATATTTATAATGTATTGTAGAGCCAATTTTCATTTTTTATGGCAATAGCTGTACACATGCATGTGCACGAGATGAGATGGACCTAGTTGTGCATGTAAGTGATTTCGAGTTTGGGTTGTAGTCATTACAAATAGTGCCGAGTCAAGTTTTTGACCTCATCCTTGGTATAGATTGGCTGTAACACAATTATGCCAAATATGACTTTAAGGCTTTTCACCCTTATTTCATACTTTTTTATATTTTATTCATTCCTCTCAATTTTATACCTCTTTATCCCTCTATTTCTACTTTTGTTTCCATTATTTTTTTCTCCCCATTACTTCTTTATATGTTTCAGTCTTATTCCGCTCTTATCTTTTCTAATCCCTTCAATAGTCTTTGTGTTGTAGTGGTTGACTAGCTCATGAAAGAGTATGCCAATCTCTTTGAAATTGATCTATCGTCTTGGGCCAAGATTGCTAGACATCATCCAATTCCAACTAGGGATGCTTGTTCAATCAAGGTTTCCTGTTCATCATCAGTTATTCAAAAAGATCAAGAGTTTATATACAAACATTAAGGAGATGTTGAAGAAGGGTGTTATTCGAAAGTTGTAGAGTCATTGGGCATGTGAACCTCATCTTGTAATGAAGCCTAATAGGAGTATTCATTTCTGCATCAACTATTATCCATTAAATGAAGTGACAATTCCAAATGTGTACTCTTTTCCTCATATTACTGATCTCTTGGATTGTATGGGGAGAAGTCATTAGTTCACCAAGTTAGATCTTGCTTTTAAGTACTAGTAAGTATTGATGGTGTAAAAATAATGATGAACACGACAAACAAGAGGATTTATATCAAAAGTAGTCCGAATCGTGATCAGATCTTTGGTGATTTCTAATTTGATTGAAGTTGTATATATATACAGCCATATATGAATCAAGATGTGTGTTGAAGTGAAATCCATTGTTCTTGCTCCGCTTTTCTTTCATGGTATTGGAGCTCAATTTCTGAACTCTTTCTTCTCCTTTCTTTATGCCTCACATCATGAGCTACAGCAAAGTTGGATTGATCTTGCTTCAGGGAGTCATTGCCTTTGATGGGAGGAGAGGGTTCAACATCTAGTCTGAGAAAATGACGCGCATGCTGTAGATGGAAGAACTCTAGGAAATCTTTTCACCACTGACAATCGCTGTAGATGCTCGTACGTGGCAAGCCCCTGCTGCATTGGGAGCTTCAACTTTAGTGGAAGGAGAAGTCGTGGATGAAAAGGCAATTCGTGCCTTTGTTGCAGCAGCTTGACAACAGCTTGATCCAAGGGAACAAGCTGCATTGGAGAAGAAGGAATCTCGAGCAAAAGGATTGATTCTTTCTAAGCTTGCAGATGCCCTTATGATGCGTTTGTGTCATAAGAGTGCTTGTGAGATCTAGGCTCATCTCCACAACAAGTATGCTGTTCTTTCCCTCTCCAAGATCAGCATGGTCGAGACTTGCATTCGTGAGACCCATTTTCATCCAGGCGAGAACTTTGAAGAGTTCCTTGCCAAGATGCAAGATCTGTGGATGGAGCTTGAAGGCAATCCAGCAGCATTCAATGAAAGCAAGAAAGTTCTGGCACTTTGCGAGGCCATGCAAGATTCTTCTTTTAGTTCTTTCGTCCCTACCATTCACATGATGTCGCTGAACTTTGAACAAGCTGAGTAAACTTTACGCTTGGAGCTGGCTGCGAGAGGTTTGATTGTGGACTTTGATCAGAGGCCTTCACATGTTTTGATCTCACAGTCTACATCAAATGTTTTTGCATCAATTAATCAGTCAGGGACTGATTCAGCTCTGTGGGCTGGAAATCATCGAGGCAGAGGAGGTTGTGGAAGAGGAGGACGAGACAAAGGTCATGGGTTTAGGGGAAATCTGCAGCAGCAGCAGAATTTAGGGAATTCTGGTAAAGAAGTAGCAATTCAGGATTGTTTTGTGGGTAAGAACAAACAGGAATGCTGGACCTGTGGGATGCTAGGACACTACTCCAAGGATTGCCTAGTTGCAGCTTGGCTGCAGCGCATGAACATAGGGCTCGCAGCAAATGCTCAAGAAGGGGAAACACAGGAACTTGCGGCATCATCTGAGGTAGCAGTTCCTAACGTTTCTGAAAAACTGACCATTGATTCAAGTTCAGAGAGACACCTAATGCAAAGCGGGTCAAACTTTGTGCAGTTGTGTGCTGCAAAAGGGAAGTGCATTCGTGTGGGAGATGGAAGCATTTTACCTGTTCGCACAATTGGGGATGTGCGAGTTCCATTGGGAAGAAAGTCTCTGTTCTTGAAGAATGCGTGGTATGTTCCAAAGATAGTGAAGAATCTGGTTTTTGTAGCCAAGCTTATGGATGAAGGTCTGGATGTGAATTTCTCCAAACATCAATGTCAAGTTCTTGCAAATGGTTGACCATTACTGCATTTTCCCAGATGTGGTAACCTGTTTGAGAAGGAGATAGCTTCTGGAGAAAAATCGAACGCTTCTGAGATATGCATGACTGCAGATAGTTCTCTCTAGCATTCTCGACTTGCACATTCCAATCCCCCTCTCATCAGGCGTATGCAGAAGCAGGAGCTTGTGGATGGCTTCAACGACCACGTTCTTCAAAGTTCAGCAAAATGTCACACTTGCATTCCTGGCAAGCAAACCTGTCGTACTTTCAAACC